AATTAGAATTTTGAGATTTTTATTTCTGTATTTAACCAAATTTCAAAGTATAGTTTCTCAAAAAATGACAAATTGGGCATTTGGAGAAAGAAAAAAGTGTTCAAGCTGTCAAAAGAATGTCTCACTGAGTAGTGAAATGTGTCTTTTAGCTTGTAAAATTAGTACCCATTAAGTAGGAAACACGTTAGAGAGGATTTATCCCATTCACTTATTCAGTTTAATTATTTTGCTGTTTTGCTCTATGCTATTTCTTGCCAGGCATACAGCCTTGTGATGAACAAAAATTAGTCGTTTGGCAGGGAGTTTGAGATGAAACAATGACAGCAGATAGGACTAAGGAAAAATCAGTATCATGTACGAGGAATAAATAGGTAATTATTGATTTCCATTTTGTAGACTGACACCTTTCCTTGGTTTATAAAGAGTTTGAGGTGTATTTAAATGTGCCGTTAAATTTGGTGATACTTTTCCTTTATCAAAGAGTAATTAGGGGCAACAAGGGCTGCCCTTTCTTCTTCTTGGCTAAACAGGGCCAGATAGATGTTGGCTGTGATTATGGGTGTTCAGTTATTAATAAAATGTGGAAGGGAAGGCTTCTTGGCCTCTGTGGAGATGAGTCACCCTGAGGCCATTTGAGAGGGAAACAGGCAGCCCTGTTTCCACCACCCTTTCTGTCTTTCCAGTTTTCACACACAAATCAAATGCTTTCACTTATTCTCCATATGAGAAGGTCACACGTGAAACATTAATTTGTGTTGACTTGGTCCTCATTTATATCTCTACTCTCTCTTTATAAGTACATGTGAGAGGCTGCTTTTGCTAGCATGATTTTGTTTCAAAAGGTTTTATTCTGTTCAAACCACCTCTAGTGGTTTTTCTTTGGATGTGAATGTAAAACATAACAAACGGTAATTTTTATTCATCTATTTAAAATAACACCTTATGTAACAATTGGCTGTAAGTGCAACAATAAAAAGGATGTATTTATTTTATGTCAAACTAAATTAGTTTGATCTTTACCCCTTGTCATTTTCTTTTGGAATGATTGTTAGATTTTTGTACAATCCAACTGTTAGCCCATTGCAATCTAAAATAGAAGTCAGCTTAAATCACTCTGAGTTTATATTTCATAGTAAATTCTAAGATCTCAGTACTCCCATCACTCCACTCCCCGCTCCTCGACCAAGTTTATATAACCAAACCATGAAGGCACATCCTGTAATTTTCATTATATTGTTAAATCTTCCAAACTCTGTAAATAGTATATTGTAAATGCAGTCTACTGACAATTTGGATACTGTGAGAAGCACAGTAACAATATGGTGGTTAAGGGCACAGACACTGAAGCCAGTCTGTCCTGTGTGTCCTTTGGCTGGTTCTTAATTTACTGTTAGTGTGTCCCAGTTTCCTTACCTCTAAAATGAGGACCACAATAATGATACCTACCTTATGAAGTTACTGTGAGAAATCAATGTTTTAAAGTATA